TAGCTGTGGGCTTGTCATATATGGCCTTTGTTATGTTGAGGTACTTTCCCTCCATACCTACTTTGTTGGGAGTTTTTATCATAAATGGATGTTGAATTTTGTCAAATGCCTTTTCTCTATTAAGATGATCATATGATTTTTATCCTTAATTTTGTTAATGTGGTGCGTCATGTTGACTGATTTGCAGATGTTGAGCCACCCTTGCATCCCTGGAATAAATCCCACTTGATCATGATGCATGATCCTTTTAATGTATTGTTGAATTTGGTTTGCTAACATGTTGTTGAGGATGTTTTACACTATGTTCATCTGAGATATTGGTCTGTAATTTTCTTTTTTTGTGGCATGCTTGTCTAGTAATGCTGGCCTCATACAACGTGTTTGGAAGAGTTTCCCCCTTTTCCATTTTTTTGGAAGAGTTTGAGGATTGGTATTAATTCTTTTTGAAGGTTTCGTAGAATTCACCAGTGAAGCTGCATGGTCCTGGACTTTTCTTTGTTGGGAGATTTTTGATTATTGATACAATCTCCTTGCTAGTAATTGGTCTGCTCAGATTTTCTATTTTATCATGATTCACACTTGGTAGTTATATGTTTCTAGAAATTTACCCATTTCTTCTAGGTTGTCCAATTTGTTAGCATACAATTTTTCATAGTAATGTCTTATGATCCTTTGTATTCCTGTGGTATCAGTCATAACATCTTCTCTTTCATTTCTGATTTTATTTATTTGAGTGGTTTTTTTTTGGTGAGTCTAGTTAAAGGTTTATCAATTTTGTCTTTTCAAAGAACCACTCTTAGTTTCATTGATCTTTTCTGTTATCTTTGTAGTCTCTATTTCATTTCTTTCTGCTCTAATCTTTGTTATTTCCTTCCTTCTACTAACTTTGAGCTTTGGATTTTCTTCTTTTTCTACTCCCTTGAGGTAAAAAGTTAGGTTATTTTAGACTTTTCTTGTTTCTTGATGTAGGTATTTATCACCATGAACTTGCCCCTTAGAACTATTTTACTGAATTCCATAAATTTTGGTATGTTACATTTCTATTTTGATTTGTCTCAAGGTATTTTTTTAATTTCTCTTTTGATTTCTTCTTTGACCCATTGGTTATTCAGTAGCATGTTATTTAATCTCCACATATTTGTAAATTTTCCAATTTTCTTTGTGTAATTAATTTCTAGTCATACCATAGTCGGAAAAGATACTTGATATAATTTCAAATTTTATATCATCTTTAAAACTTTATTGTATTCTTTCTCCATTGATTTCTAAGCCTAATACAGACCTCTGTCTCCACCAATCTTAAAAACTTATTTCCATAAACCTGTTACCTTTTCAAGCACTGCCCTATTAGTAGTGAAAATTCTCAAAAGGCTTGTCTTATATCCCTGGCTTAATTTCCTCACTACTTACCCACCCTTACCTGTAGTAATCCAGCTTTCATCTTCCTTTTGCTGCTGCATCTGCTCTCTTGAAGGTTTCAGAAAAAAAAGTAAGGATAGGTAACCAAGTAAGGTCCCAGAGAACATGAGAAGTAGTGCAAGTAAAGGGATAAGGTACAAGTAAGCCTGGAAATGGGGGAACACTGTCAAAATTATGGGAAATTGCCTGGAGAACAGAATGGAGAGAAAAGCTATGTCAAACCATGGCCAGGAAAGACTATTGCCAATCAACCTGTAATGAAACGGTATTTGGAAACAGTACTGTAGAAAAGATCAGATATTTGCTGGGCCCAGCAAAGGAAAGACTGAAGAGTCAATGTCTTGACTGGAAATTAATGAACTACTTTCATAAACAACCAAAAGAAGCCTTTATCACAGTAACTGAAGGTATGGTATCTTATATAATAAAGTATACACATGCTAGAGGACATCCTTTTACTGAATAATTTCAGATATTTCAGTTGTGGTGAGTGTGGAGGAAAGTAGAAAAGAGAGAAGAGGATAAGCACCACATGCAGTATGTAAACTGTGGATGAGAGATAGTATTCTAAAGATTCCATGTGTTTAAGAAGGCTCTATTATTTGCTGTCCTGAGGCTAGGAATCCAAGTCCGAAAAACTTTCTTTTCCAGGGGCTGGCCCCATGGCCGAGTGGCTAAGTTCGCGTGCTCTGCTGCAGGCAGCCCAGTGTTTCGTCAGTTCGAATCCTGGGTGCGGACATGGCACTGCTCGTCAGGCCACGCTGAGGCGGCATTCCACATGCCACAACTAGAAGGACCCACAACTAAGAATATGCAACTATGTACTGCAGGCCTTTGGGGAGAAAAAGGAAAAAAAATAAAATCTTTAAAAAAAAAAAACTCTCTTTTCCAGTTCTTACCATAGTATCTAAAAACTGGGAAGAATTCTTCTTTTCTCACAGGCTCCAAATTTATTAAGGTTCCTTAACTTCTTTACCACCTATATCAAGCCAGTTTTCCCAGAAGGACTTTGTAGACATTGGCCTCAGAACTGCATTAGTATTTGTTCTTTGAAATGGCTTATCACATCTGATTTGATGACCACCATTCTCACATAAGACACTCAAAATAAAGCTTTGGTTGCATAATATAACCAATTATGACTTGGTAAGAAAGAGGTTCGAAGATAACAAAGATACAAAAAGAGATTTAGTAAGAGTTTTCCAATTCTGGGGAGACCACAAATAACCACAATAAATTTTCCCTCATCAGTTCATTCAGTCATTAATTGTTGTCTCGCTGGATGTTGGGGTAGCAGTCACAGTAGGCCTTCTATTCTCAACTAAAACTGAGTTCTGGGCATCCTGATCCAGTCCACAGATATGGTCTAAAAGTTGTCTAAATGATGTCTGCTCAGAAACCTGTCCTCAGAATCTATTCTCTGAATTGTCAATATTAGTCCAAGGTTTTAAGTTACCTAGAGATCCTGAAAATTATCTTTAAGCTGACATACCACAAAATATGATTAGCTTCCAAACAGAGCTTATCAGAACAATGATTCAATTAAGGTGAGTAAGCTTTAATTTTTTATAATTATAAACACTATGTAACAGTAAAGTTGGCCTATCTGATCAGTAAACCTATTTAAGTTTAGAAAAAGCAAACTTCAATAGAATAAAATATAAGCTTGTTTTATACTTAACATTGATAAATCAGAAGACATAGCTATTTTTATTAAAGTAAAATTAATAAAGTGATCTTATTTCCTACAGAGTTATCTTAATTATGTCAGTTTGGAATCTTAAAATATTTCTGAATTGGTTTTTGTAAGAAAATAAGTTTTAGATTTATTCCAACCTCGGGTTCGAATAGGATGACTTTCGTGGGCTGGATTCATCCCTCAGGCCAGCAGTTTGTCTTGTCTATCTGGTACAAATGGGCCCCCAATAAACAAACCAGTGGTCTTGAAATCTTTTCCTCACATATTCCCAGAAAATTTAAGGTTGCATCTAAATTTTTATCATTATTTTAAGGATGCAATTTCTGTAATATTATTAATATTACCTTTTTAAATAAATTGTTGTACTACCTTTTTAACATATCCAATGGAATTAAAATGACACAGCATATCACTCTCAGATGACCACTTGCTGGCCTTTGCTAGCACAACCATAAGCAAGACAGCTGTAGTGGTCACAGCTGTCCCTGGAATGTCATCAGGCTCTCTTGATAATCTAGAAGACCTTTTTCTAGGCAAAACAATGAATAAAAGAGCAGAATTAAACCAGTGATCATGTTGTTTATCAAAGTCAAAACTGAATCTTCACAAGCTCTAGTGGTCAAGGTTTAGTATCAGTCAGAACGATTTCCATAGACACAAGACCTCCAGGCTGGAGAATATTCAATATAACAAAATGGGACTTGATTCCACCTTACTTGAAGAATTGTACACACAAGAAAGCTCACCTCTTATTTCTTCTTTCTGGAGCTGATGGCCACTGGTCAATGCCTCATGGAATAGAACCTTTCCAGGAAAGATTCTTAAGGGCTTCCCCATCCTCCTAAAAAAATATTTTTCGTGGCCTCTGAGATTCCGTTAGTCATAAAACAAACCCTGATCTACTTCATTATTAAAGATGTGTTTATGCATCTTTGGTTGGAAACAGACCATTTTTCACTCCACATTCATGCTACAAGCCATAGGAGTTGAAGCCTTGCCCAGTACGCACATTCAAATTACAACAAGCAATTTTGTGTCAGTATTTTATCTACTTTACCATGTGTGTGGTATCAATGTTATCTCTAAGGTTTGAAGAATCTGAGGATGGGGATTTATTATTCAATACTACCCCAGTCATGGATATATGTAATATTTGGTTGATGTTACTAGATGAGAATGACTGTTTTGGAAGATCTACCATTATAGGTCTTGTGCTAGCAAATACAATTAAATGGATATTTTGTGTGTGTGAGATAAGGTAGATTTTTTTGCCTATTTGCTTTTTCTAAATTTCTACAATGATCCTAACGCAACTGTTTTTATTTTGAAAAAATCATTTTTAAACCTTATGAAACAAACAACAATTACTATGCCCCATTTTCAAGAGAGGAAACCAGAACCAGCTCAGAGAAAAGAATGAGTGGGCCCCAGTTTCTCCAATTCACAGGTTAGTATTTTTTGGTCTCTATCACACTTTCTAGAACAATAATTCCTGACACAAATTGGTTATGCCTCCAAAGAACGCAATGAGGGTACTTAATGAAGGCAATAAAAATAAGGAACTAACTACCTGACATATCAGACATAGAATAATTTTAAATTTCGTTTTGAAACTTGGATCCATCTTGAATTTACCTGACTGGTACTTTTTTCTTGTATTTCAGCCATATAATTTATACAATCACAGGTAAAAATAAGGATTCTGCTTAAGAGATGGTTTTTCAGTCCGCACATTTTTCCCTGGTGATTTATCTCAAGCTCAGACCTTTTTTCAGGATTGCTGTTGGATGAGATGCTTCTTTCTGCTTCTGGTTTAGATAGAAGTTTCTTCCTTACCAGGCACAGACCAAATCACACATAGACGGTACAAACTAAACAAAGCTGCTGGTTTTTAAATGCTTTATTACATTGACTTGAGTATCCTTAGTAGATGAATATAATCATGTTAGCACTCTGGTTTGGTAACTGAGAAAAGGAAACATTTCTGAAACCTCACAAAACAGTGTAGTGTGCAGACTATAACTAGTCATGCTTTCATCTCTTTATAGAACAGTCACCACAAGTGGTATGGTCCACCGTAAGAGCTTTCACTGCCGCTCTATAGCTTCTAAACAGTAACTGAGAGAGGTAGGCAGACTTTAGAGGAAATTCCAACGCAATCGCACTCAAACATTACCCCAGAAGCCACAGGTAGGATGGCATTATATGAAAGCTGGAACTTGCTTCAAAACCTGGACTATTGAAATCTACAATTAGATACACATTTTCTTTACGTACAAACAAATTACACACACTTAAGAAACTGATACATCTACATTGACTTCCAACTCGTCAGTTATTTGTAGTCTTATCAGAAAACCTTGTATTAGGTGGTTGTTTTGTTTGTTATTATGGTGTGCGTGTGTGTGTGTCTGAAGAGATTGTCCCTGAGCTAACATCTGTGCCAATCTTCCTCTATTTTATACGTGGGACACTGCCACAGCATGGCTTGATGAGCAGTGTGTAGATCCGTGCTTGAGACCCAAACCTGTGAACTGAAGCAGAGCGCACAAACTTAACCACTACACCACCGGGTCGCTGCTTGTTTGTTATTCTGTTACTTAAAATGTTATAACCTACTTTAATGATTCAAAAATGAGAATGATATTTGTACACATATATAGTCATGGTTTATTAGAAACGTGGTTAACTTGAATTTCTGAATTAGGAATGAAGAAAGGTGTTAAATGGGTTCAAAAAAAACAAAGCACAACAGTACAGCTATAAACGATAGTTTTGTAATAACAAGTATAAATGTAATATAAAGATACCAGAGTTTTAAAACCAAAGCCAACAGACTGACTTTTTAAAGAAATCAGTTATTTTAGTTCATTAAAGTGTATTTCACAGCAGCTATGATGTGTCTGGCACTGATTCCAAACATATCCAGCAATTCACCAGGTTTCCCACTTTGGGGCACTCCTGACACTGCCAGCTGATGAACAAGGATGTCAGGCTCCCCAGAGACAGCTGTACACACAGCTTCTCCAAGGCCACCTTCTCGGTAGTGATCCTCTACTGTGATAACCCGACCACCTGTAGCTTTTGCACTGGAGATGATGGTGGCAGCATCCAGGGGTTTAATGGTAAACGGGTCAATGACACGGATAGAAATGCCTTGTTGAGAAAGATCAGCAGCAGCTGCTAAGGCTTCATGGAGAGTAACTCCTGCTCCAATAACTGTAACTTTGTCATTGACACTGTGGCGGATGACCCTGGCCTGTCCAATCACAAAATTTTCTTGTGGGGTATAAATAACGGCAGTTTCTTGTCGGCTGGTCCGAATGAAGCACATTCCTTTGGTACTGGCAGCCAGATAAACAGCATGCTCTGCCGAGATGGCATCACTTGGATAGAAAACGGTGCAATTGGGAATGCTTCGGAACATGGCGAGATCCTCCAGAGCCATCTGGGAGGATCCTTCTTCACCCATAGATACCCCGCAGTGGGAACCAATAAGATTGATATTGGTTTGAGATATGGCTCCCATCCGGATCTGATCAAATGCTCGGGTCAAACAGGCAGCAAGGGTACTAATAAAAGCAACAGTTCGATCACGTGTGGCGCAGCCCAGTGCCACACTTACCATGTTTTGCTCAGCCATAACACACTCAATGAAACGCTCAGGGTATTCTTTCTTGAATATCTCAGAAAAGGTGGAGTTCTTTGCGTCACCATCCAGCACAATAAGTCTGTCATTTGCACGTCCCAGTTTAACCAGAGCCAAACCATATGCTTTCTGAGTAGCTATCTTGTCACCAACTTCATAATCAGGCAGACAGGTCATTTTTATATTCCTGATGCTGACTTGCGGTGAGTCTTCAAGAGGGGGTTTCACTATGAAATTTCTATTGGTCTGTATCTGACTCTCAATTAATTTGATGATTGCATCTGCTCTTTCTTTTGGCATTGGCTTTCCATGCCAATTTTCTGCATCCTCAATGTCTGGAATACCCCGGCCCTTGAAGGTCTTGGCTACTATGGCAGTGGGCTTGTTCTTCACTTGAGTTGCTTGCCAGAACGCATGGCACAACCCCTCCACATCATGGCCATCCACTAAGTAAGTATTCCACCCAAAGGCTTCACAGCGATTCTGATAGACGTCTGTGCAGTGCTCAAGGGGCGTGACACCACTTTGTCCCAAACGGTTCACGTCAAAGACTGCCACGAGATTGTCCAAATTGTAGTGGGAAGCGAAGTCCAGAGCCTCCCAGACTGAACCTTCCGAGGATTCACCATCTCCCATAAGGCAGAACACTCGGTAGCTGGCCTTGTCAAAGTACTTGCCAGTATAAGCCATTCCGCAGGCGGCACCCAATCCTTGCCCAAGCGATCCGGTTGCCACATCAACGAACGACAGTCTTGGGGTGGGATGTCCCTCTAAGTCACAGTTAATTTTCCTCCAGTTCAGCAAGTCGGATTCACTGATGATGCCCAGCTCTGCCCAAGCCGCATAGAGGATGGGAGCAGCATGGCCCTTGGAGAGGATGAATCGGTCGTTGTCAGGGTGTTCCGGCTCTGTCTGTTTATACCGCATCGTGTGGAAGAACAGCACGGACATGATCTCAGCTGCGCTGCAGCACGACGTGGGGTGGCCGGAGCGGGAGGCACACGTGGCCCTGATGGAATGGATCCGCAGGCGGTTGGCCATGTGCCGCAGCACCTGCAACGTATTCGCACGGGGCTTGGCGTTGTCGGCCATGGTGGCTGTCCTGGTGGTTTCTGCGGAGCAATACCGCCTGCGCTTGCGCAGCCGGCGGCGGTTCCGTCACGTGACCACTGCGCCGTTGCTTGGCCCCCTGGTGGAAATCAGCTCAGCAACTGACAGGGGCAAGCGCGTGCGCCACTGGTTATCGCGAGAGTCGGGGAGGAAAAGATACGCCGTGCCTGCTCCCTCCGCGTGCGGCTGTGTCCTTCCTCGCCCAAGTGAATGGATTTTTAATATTTAGTTTGTCACTTGCATGTTCAACATTATTAAAAATAATTAAATTTCTTTATACTTCTCTTCATGTTGTAAATTCAAAAGGGTGCATTCTTATATCCATGTATTATAGGAAGCTATTTGTGACGTCGTGCTTTTTTTTTATGCATTAATGCTGTATCTAAGACATCTTTTACTCTTCACAGCATTTCTATTGATAGAAGTGATCCAAAGTTACTTTCAATCTAACCAACATGGCAGCGCTACGGCAGCCGAGCTTTCCTCGGAGCAACTGAAAATTCTTACTGTGCTGTAGAGAGAGAAATGCAAAGACTAATTTGACCAAAACTTGCAGTAAGAAATCTGAAACCACTCCATGGCAGAATATCTAGAACTGCAATTTTCCCAGTATACAGTAAAATACTATTACTGTTACTACAAATAATAATTTTTAAAACATAATTAATTTACTTACTTTAGTTGTAAAACTAAATTTGTACCACTGAGCTCTTCTTGTGGGCAAGAATTACAGCTTGTCATCGAGAAAACAAAAATAGAATGACAGTATGTCATCTCCCATGGTGCGATGTTACAAATCTTGATTCTTGAGCAGTAATTCTTAATGTTGACTTTACATTGAAATCATGATTCTGAAAAAACAAAAACAATGCGTGAGTTCCACTCTAGGCAAACTGAATTTGAATCTCTGAAAGTAGTGTCTAGGAAGCCATATTTTTTAAATGAATCTGTTGATTCTAATGTGTAGTCAAAGTTAAGAAGAGAGAATCTGCAGATAGACGAGTGGTTCTCAACATTGGTGGTACATTAGAATAATCTGGGGAGTTAAAAAGAAAAACAACTCATGTCCAGGCTGCACTCCTAACCAGTTAAATCAGAATTTCTGGGCGACGGATCTAGGCATTAGTAATTTAAAAAACTCCCCAATTTCAATGTTTACAACTCACAGGGTCTCGCTACTCTTACTGTCTTTATGTCTCTTACATTGCATCTCAGAAAAATATTTTAAATATTTGCCATTTAAACTAATTCCATCCTTTTAATTTTTAAAGGATACATATTAAACCATAATGGTATGACATTAACAAGATTTTAAGACTTGTTGAAGGAATGTTGGAGTTGGAAAAGTTTTTAAGAGGCCATCTTGTATTCATTATTCCCCTTGCCATTTGCGAAATAATGTTTGCTTATCCTTTTAGACAAAAGAAAGGAAAATAAAAACGGTCTAGACTAGGGCAAAGATGGGAATTAGAGAGAAGAAATATTCACAGCATCCTAGTAGTACACTTACTAGGGACTGACAGGAAAGCAGTTAATATAAGACACAGGTAGCTCATTATGATTTTGGCTGAGGAGAGCTCTAATAAATCCAAACAATTGGTAAAGATGATCATTTAAAATGATCTACGAGGCAGTGTTCACAAGAAAAAAAGATGGGACAAGTAAGAAGTACTTAACATTTCTTTTCAAGTCCCCAAATTCTTCCATTCATTTAAAGTATTGCACAACTATTTCCAAAAGTATTAAATAGAAAGTTTTTAACATTAGTAAAGGTCAGTTTTGTTAAGAAAAGAATGTAGTCTTGGAGATTTAATACTCTATATAGTGATTATGAATTTCTCTTTGTGATTCTCTGAGATGGTGTGGATTTTTCAATACTATGAAAAAATAATATTTTGTAAATTAAACTGTTGGCTCATCTGTTCCAATAAATCTGCGTCATATGTTTTTCAATTTTATTATTTATTTTAAAGTGTTCTGAGTTTTTTAAAGGGAAGTCTGAAGTTATGTGTAAATGCTTAATAATATTTCCTTAAAATGTTAGTATTTCAAAATAGATTTTAAAATATTCAATTGAAAATAACCATATAAGTATAAAGTATGCATAATTTGATAACACAAAATTACCCAGTGTGGCTTTAAACACAACTCAGTCAAATAAATCAAAGATGTGATATCACATTCTAGTTTCCCCATTTAGAAGAGGCTATTACTGACAAAAGCCCAGCCAAAAATTTTTAGGCCAACCTGCCAAAAATTTAATTGTCTTGGAGAAAAGTCCATTGCTCATTTGAGATCGTTTTGGAAGACAGTCAAAAGTTTTTTGCGAATAGGAAGAAATTATTTATTAATTTGGTTTATCCACATGAAGTAGGGAATGGCAAACTCAAGCGCCTGCTACTTGACTAGGGAGGTACCACAGGTACCTGACAGTCAGATGTAACATAGGAGGGTTGGAGGGGCCAATGACAAACTGGAGAACACAAGTACACTTAAAAGCATTCAGAATTTAAAAATGTGTAGTACCAACCCTGGCATTCAACTTGGTCCAGCATTTATTTTTATAATAAACTGAAAGAAAAAAATTTGAAAAATTTGTGAACATTTTATGCAACAAAAGCAAAAACAAAAAGCATATCTTCAGGCTGCCAGTTTTAACACCTGACTTAACACCTGTTAAAAATAAATAAATAAAAGTTTTCTTTTACCTTTGTTTGAATTTTTCACTATAACTTTTTTCTCATAGTATGGAAAAGTATTTATTGTAGTGTGCACTTCAAGTGAAAAAAAAAGAAAACCCTAGCAGCATCACTAAAACAAATAGCTACAGAGGGAAAAACATAAATCGCAGGAATTGTTAAGTGCAATTTCTACTGGGCTGCAGTACAGCAAACAGAGCACTCATATTGGTTACTCAGGAGATTTACACCAATTGGAGAAAATATATAATTTGCTATGTAAGGGTGAGTTATATTGGGAGGTTGGAACTTGTTTTATCTGAACTGTGTTGAATTTTGTTAAAACGGAATTATATAAAAGAAAGACACAAATGCTAAATTGGTCTTTTTTCTTCTATCATTTGAATTTGGTTAGTTCAGTAGGCTGAGTATGGAGCAAGTGAAGGTAAGATTCTTATCTAAGACAGTAAGTTTCTTGGGGAAAAAAATGCGCTCTACCTTCCTGCATTATTGCTTTGAAAATTACAGCAGGTGAAATGTGCTCTACCTTCCTGAATTACTGCTTTGAAAATTACAGCAGATGCTATTATTGCCTATCATATTTTCCCCATAGTTTATAGAGTCCTTATTTCTGGAAGGAAAGGGGTGAGCACTAACATATTTCGGAAACTCGGCCCACCTGCCAAGGTGCTCCTCAGATGAATAAGTTCTGGGGATCTGATCTGCAGCATTAGATAACAACAGTTATATAGTTAATAATACAATATTCCATATTTGAAAGTATCCAAGACAGTAGTTTTTAAAAGTTCTCAATACACATACACAAAATTGTAACTATGTGAGGTGATGGAAATACTAACTAACCTTATTGTGGAAAGCATTTCACAATATATATATGTATCAAATCATTATGTTGTATACCTTAAACTTACACAATGTTATATGTCAATTACATGTCAATAAAGTTGGGAAAAAAAATAAAGTGCCTCTCTGCTAAGCCCATTATCTCTGTCTCTTTTTGTCTGTTTCTATTGACAGATTTTTATTCTGGTAATGAGTTACACTGTTGTGTTTTTTGATATAGCTAGTAATTTTTTTATTATTAAATGCTGGACTTTATTTTGAGGTGCTGGATTGTATTTTTGTTAAATTCTTTTAAAGAGTGTTAGACTTTGTTTTAACAGGCAGCTTTGTGCTTTTATGAATTTTCACTTAGTTGAGGCAGATATAATGTATGCTTTACTCTGGGGGTAGCTTAGCTCCAATACCAAACATCCCCTCTCTGGGATCTCCCCTAAATGCCCTGAGAGTTCAACAAAGACCCTCCAGATTCTGGCTAGCCAAGACTCAACTGTGTCTCAGCCCTATGTGAGCTCTGAAACTGTTTGATGTACTGCTGCCAAGTTGTCATTCGCCTGGTCTTGTAGAGGTATACGTTATGCAAGGGCACCCCTTTGAAGACTTCTGGAAGTCTTTCTCCAGGCAATTCCCTCCTTGTAAGCATTATCCCTCCAAAATTCTAGCCAATTCAGTCCTTCTGAGCTCTGGTCTCTGTTCTGTTATCTCAACAAGAGACTGCCCTGCTCTGTGTAAGATACCCTTCCCTGTAGCAGCGTCTGGAAAAGTGTCCCCAGGAAGAAAGCCAGGATTATGATATGATTCATTTCATTTGTTTTTCTTCTTCAGGGGTCATAGTCCTGTGCTGCTTGTTTTCCAATGTACAAAAATGTTGCCTTGTATAGTTTGTCTGGTTTTCTAGTTGTTTATGGCTAAAGGGTAAGTCTCATTCCAGTTACTCTAGCACAGCCTCAGAACAGTATTTTAAAATATTTTGAATGTTAAGACCTTATATGGGGCGTATACTCTCCAGATAACTGTAGCCCATACTGCACTGTTCTCTATCGTCTTTCACACGTTTACATTACCACTCTGACCCAAGAAGACTCTCAGGAGCTTGGGATTTCTAACGACACCAATTATTGCTAACCTTTTTGGTGTCATTTTAAAAAAATGTCCAGGGCCAGCCCAGTGGTATAGTGATTAAGTTTGTGCGCTCCACTTCCATGGCCTGGGATTTGCAGGTTCGGATCCTGGGCACAGACCTACACCCCACTCATCAAGCCATGCTGTGGCAGCATCCCACATACAAAATAGAGAAAGATTGGCAACAGATGTTAGTTCAGAGCCAATCTTCCTCACTGAAAAAAAGAGTCCCCCAAAGTACAGTCTAATGAAATCTTTTTTTTTTTGAGGAAGATTAGCCCTGAGCTAACTACTGCCAATCCTCCTCTTTTTGCTGAGGAAGCCTGGCCCTGAGTTAACATCCATGCCCATCTTCCTCTACTTTATATGTGGGATGCCTACCACAGGGTGGCGTGCCAAGTGGCACCTGGGGTCTGAACCAGG